CACCTCTGGCAACGGACCCCCACCTCTGGCAACGGACCCCTGCGCCCACACACCTCTGCCAACGGACCCCTACCTCTACCAACGGACCCCAGTGCACGGGCAGGGGTCGGGGCACTGCAGCGGGGCACTACGGGCACTCCCGGCGGCCGGGGCAAACTGCGATCCCCTGTCCGTTTTTACTCGGGAGGAGCCCGATTTCCCGATAGAAATGACAATTTTGTCGACTGCGGCGCTCGCTCCCGGCGAGACCTCTATATCCCGGCCGGAGGCCGATTTCTGGGTAAATTTGCCGAAATTCCAGTGACGGTCGCGTTTCGGTGGGCGGCCCCCGGGCCCTCGGTGGGCGCTGTGCGTGTGTCCCAGGGTGTCCCCCGTGTGCTCCCGGTGCCCGTGAGCCGGCGGGGGCCCGGCAGCGACGACTGTGGGTGCGGGGAACAGCCTAGGCCCAGGCACCTCTGACAACGGACCCCCACCTCTGGCAACGGACCCCCACCTCCGCCAACGGACCCCTGCGCCCACACACCTCTGCCAACGGACCCCTACCTCTGCCAACGGACCCCAGTGCACAGGTAAGTGTCGGGGCACTGTAGCGGGGCACTACGGGCACTCCCGGCGGCCGGGGCAAACTGCGATCCCCTGTCCGTTTTTACTCGGGAGGAGCCCGATTTCCCGATAGAAATGACAATTTTGTCCACTGCGGCGCTCGCTCCCGGCGAGTCCTCTATATCCCGGCCGGAGGCCGATTTCTGGGTAAATTTGCCGAAATTCCAGTGACGGTCGCGTTTCGGTGGGCGGCCCCCGGGCCCTCGGTGGGCGCTGTGCGTGTGTCCCAGGGTGTCCCCCGTGTGCTCCAGGTGCCCGTGAGCCGGCGGGGGCCCGGCAGCGACGACTGCGGGTGCGGGGAACAGCCTAGGCCCAGGCACCTCTGGCAACGGACCCCCACCTCCGGCAACGGACCCCCCTCGGCTGGGGCATCGGGGGCGGCTGACAGCCCCGGTGAGGTTGCCGCCCACCAATGCTGGTGGGATATCGTTTGTGGGTAGGGGGGTGCACGCGGTGAGGGGGGCAGGGGGCGGCCCCTCTTGTCGTGTGGGGTGGCTACCGGGGGGGAGGAGGGGGTTGCGCGCGGAGGGCCGGAATTTTGTCTGTTACGTAACATGGTGCTTATGGGACAGTGCAGCCGGCAGTCTACATAAAACGCGCCGACACGTATATATGTGGGGGAGTAGGTTCGTGCTGGAACAGGCCACTAGTCGGACTTCATCGACAGGGTTCGTCCCGGGTGAGGCGAGACTTTAACAGCCTGGTGGCGCAACCTATGATCCCACCGGCGGATGGGGAACTCGGATCGGGCTCGAGCGGACACCGCTTTGGGTTCTCATGGACTGGGTTTTGTCCCGTGTGGGGCCGACCTTTAGCAACGAGTGCGATGGCCCTTTCTGTCTGGACCTGCATCCGCCGAACTCCTGGCATCGACTGGCTCCTGAGGCCGTGTGTGGTTTCGTTGTTCCGACTTGACCTCCCGGCAGTAGTCTGGCAGCATCTGCATGGTGATAACTCTCGCCCCGTAGAGGATGGACGCTGAGTAGTACGTTGTCCGAAGCGCGCCGCGCGAGTCGCGAGCTGACGTATGGAGAGCATCCTTCCCGGTAAGGTCGCTCGACTTGGTCTCGTAGAGGCCCCGCTCTCTCGAATGAGCCGGCGGTCCGCAAGAAGAAACTTGGTACGGTGTTCGCCGGTGCCGCTCGCCGTCGGGCGGGCGTCACCGGCGACGCGCGAAACTTGGTAAAGATGCACACGGCGGGCGCCGGAGATCCGCCTCGTTCGGAGGCGCTGACTCCCCGGGCCCCGGTGCGGTACCACGAAAGGGAAAAACGAAAGCTATCTGGTTGATCCTGCCAGTAGTCATATGCTTGTCTCAAAGATTAAGCCATGCATGTCTAAGTTCACACTGTTTCACGGTGAAACCGCGAATGGCTCATTAAATCAGTCGAGGTTCCTTAGATGACACGATCCTACTTGGATAACTGTGGCAATTCTAGAGCTAATACATGCTTCGCAAGCTCCGACCCTCGTGGAAAGAGCGCTTTTATTAGTTCAAAACCAATCGTCGTTTCGCCGTTTCGGCGGCGGGCGGCGTCCCAATTGGTGACTCTGGATAACTTTGTGCTGATCGCATGGCCTTTTGTGCCGGCGACGCATCTTTCAAATGTCTGCCCTATCAAATGTCGATGGTACGTGATATGCCTACCATGTTTGTAACGGGTAACGGGGAATCAGGGTTCGATTCCGGAGAGGGAGCATGAGAAA